CGGCGCAGCACCACAGTTTCTTTAAGAAACTTACCCCCTTTATTCGTATAGCTCATTAGGTGGGTTTCCTTAATTTTTTCAATCTTTTCACTATTACTTACCCAGAAGCCTCTGATCTTTAACGTGGATTCGTCGTCTTGACCAATGCATAATACAAGGAGGCCAACAATAACGGACCCTGTTCATTGATTTCTGACATGAAAATTAATTTTTCGATAGGGAAAATACCCTGACTGAATTTAGAACGGTATGTTACTCCATATAAAACATTTTTTCTCGTGGCGCACATTGGCGTTCTCAGCTGCATACGGATGAATGCTTGATCGAAGGAGACCTACATTGGCAATTCACGTATCTTATTAAAAGACGTTTTAGTGTGGAGTATTGCTGATTATTATCTAAATACACATAGAATACACAAGACAGAAATAGCCCATTTTACAGTTGCATGTTAAGTTGCCAAGCCTTTGAACAGGAGTGAGGTTGAGGATGACCTTGTTATGATACAAACATTGCTGCTTTTCAAATGTAAATTACTTTTTTATCATGTTAACTAGATTATAACTGGGCTCTATCACATCAAGGTCACCCTAATGGCCTCACTCCAATTCAAAGGCCTGGCAGCTAGGTATACAACTATAAAATGGTCTGTTGGCCACACTTTAAGATGCCACTGTGAATAGAATTAACTGAAAAATTTTATTGAGGCACTTAATCCTGCACATGCTCAGAAAATGAGACTGGGTTTAAAAAAATTAAATAATCTCAATGAAGTAACAATGGTAAATTATGTTAGAAAATTCATAGTTATTCACATGCAACTCATGTATGTATATCTGTCCTTGCAGGCAACTGTGAAGCTTCCATTAGGTGACATGCTTTGTAGTTCTGATAAAGCTCAGCTTATGAGGCTGCTTATAAGATTGATTAAGGCTAAAAAGGTTATCAAAATAGGTGAGATGGACATTTAAAAAGACATTAATTAGTCTGCTAATCTCATTTTTCTTTTCATTTGAATTTTATTGGAATGATGGTAGATGATAACACTGTCAAACTGTGTTGGATATCTAAATGTGGAATGTGAACTTTTCTTTGTGCATATAGCCTTACTCAATGTATATTCACCAGTAGTCAGTTGACATGTCCCTCAAGGGTCAGTAGATTATACAGATAACGGAAATGCGTCAACTTTTTCTTTTGCGGGTGATGCCAATCCGTTGATGAATGGAAAACACTAAATCCCAATTGGCTTTGAATTGAGATTTGGTGATGGTTTTGGCGGAGGGAAGAAGACAAGGGATAAAATTAATTATTATTCATTACATTTACAATGAAAACTCTGATTGGTTGAGCACATACAATCAATATAAAACAATGTGTGAAGTTGACATGATAACTGCAGATATTGGATTATCATGTAGAGTTCATAGTCTGCCTAGTTTCCAAGCTCCATCAAACTTTTGCAAACTTAGAGGAGTGTCTTCTTTGGCCAATTGTAAAGCTATTAGCAAATTTGTTTTTCGCATGATATATGTATTATCAAACCTCGTGTCTCAGAACTCTGCATTAATAATTTATGATATCATGCTTAACCTCATCCAATAGTCACTTATAGTATGTAAGGGGGTAAGGATTTGGACCTTGAGGTGAAACACAGTTTTTTTCAACTGCTCCCCCAGCTCCCACTGAAAAGGCTTAAAAGAGGCTCAGTTATAAGTTGAAATGTCTCTTAAGTTTATACATATTAGGTGCAGGTATTTGGAAACTGAGAATAACCTGGGTGAAACAAAACTGAGTTGTTATAAAAATTAAATTCAACTTGTATTTTAGTTGAAATCTTTCATATTTTCCCTCCTTTCAGGTGCTTTCACTGGTTATAATTCACTAAGTATGGCCATAGCTCTGCCGTCTGATGGCAAAGTTGTGGCATGTGATGTCACAGACAAGTTTATGAAAGAGGTTGATTATGACCGTCACTTCCGAGAAGTAAGCTGACAAATGTTTTATTTCATCTTACATGTAT